GGAAAGCTCCGTCACAGACGCTGTGACACCCGCAGTGAAAGGGTTAATGATTGCAAGCCATGCACCTATCAGCCAGTAGGTTGCTCTTCACCACAAAGAAAATGTGATTATCTTTCATCTGATGAAATGCAGTCTGGAATTATATAATTTAGAGAGATGGAACTGAGGTCTTCAAACATTTTGAAACATTATTTCCTATATGTAGAAATAAAATAGTCCTTAAAATACTAGGAGAAATCAAATCTATAGATCCATGAAAAGTCTTATGTAGAAAAGTTCATTTCTGAAGTAACTACATAAAAATGAAAATAACTTAAAAAAAGCAAAAGTTCCAATTCACTAGTCATAAAACTGTAAATGGATCAGAGTTAATTTTTCTTAGATATCACTTTTCAGAAAAGTTTAAAAGAAAGTAGAAAGAGATACAAATTAGTTTATATAATCCTCAAAACAAGAGATAATGCCAGTGACTGCAAAATTATTTAGATAATCATGTTTTCTGTAACTGAGAAGTTCACATTGCATATTGATAAACATTTTAGTTGTACTGTATGGCAGCGACAAGTAAAAGGAGAATGTGTAGATATACCTACCTACTGCCTGTCAGATTTTTTGCAATTCGAGGAAAGATGTCAGGACATAAACGTTCTCTGCCTTCAGTGTGCTGTGGCTCCCTTAACCTGTTGGGTTTAGGGAAATGTGACCTCATGAAAATTTTGGCTGATGGGTGGGTGATGGGAACATCTCTTTATGGAAAATTTTTGCTGAGAGCCAGGGTGACGGGAATGTCTCGCCATGAGATGATGTTGCTGACAGGCAGGTGACTGGAATGTTACTCACAAAGCCTCTGGAGGGAGATTAGATTCAGTGGACTTTAGAGATGGGCTCTTGCACTATTTTCACCCTGTAAACAAGGATGGAATATACCGCCCATGAGCTATGCCTGGAAGAGCACTGGCTCTAGGGAGAATAATATTTCTCTACAGGAACCTATTCCTGCCTGCTGTGACAGAAATTTGAAGAATGCAAAAATGTTATAAAATAAGATATCACAATGCTACTTATTTTCTGTGTTATCAAAAGTTGAAAAGTCCTGCTTTTCCACAACTGAGTAGAAAGACAAGCTGGAGGGTTTGTGGTACTAAGGTTTTAAAGAAAAATCTCATTTAATTTTCTTTTTGCATATAAATCATTATTCATAAAATATTATTATTCATAATATTTCATGATTTGGTAATTTTTATACATCTTTGTTCATTTCTATTTACTTATCTTCTTCCCTTTATACTTTATTTTCATTGTTATTATTTTTTTTACAGGTCAGCGAAGCAGATCTAGATCTCCCCACCTTTTCCCAGACTCCCAAAGAGATGTGCAACGAACTCCTGAGATGGTGCAAGAAGTGGATGAGCTCATGGCCGAAGTGGAAGGAAGAATGCCCCGAGTCCTTGGGCAGCCCCCTAACACCTACAATGCTGCAATGATTGTAGCAGAAGAACATAACCAGAGAGTCGCACGCATCGTACCCCCAGAGGCGCCCCCAAGCCCACCCGCACTAGAGCAGCCAATCATTTCGTGCCTTGTCTGCTTCGATTCCATTGGCACCATACAAAAATCCTCCCGTAACTTATGCTCCACAGTCTGCGGGCACATCTTCTGCTCCACTTGCATAGACGCTGTTGTAAGGCAAAAGAAACAGTGCCCCGTGTGTAGGAAAAAGTTAACGAAGAAACAGTATCACTCTCTCTTCATATGAGGACTCAGACACCAATGTTGTGAGCTCACAATAGAATTACGTGTAAATAGCAAATATTCCCCGGGCCGTCTTTGGCCAAGGATTTCCTGGAGAAGAACCAAGAGAAACCAGGCTGCTTTCTCTTTAAAAAAGTAATCTAGTGACCCCTTAATCTATTATGTAAACTAAAGGATATTCAGGATCTATATGTCAATGGTATACAGTAATTGTGTAGCCAAGGATTAGATAGTGTGTTAAAAGAGAACTTAAGGATATTGTGAAGTTTCTCTGTACAAAAGAAATTAAGGCCAATTTTCCAGTTTATATCTTTTTGAAAACTGAATGTGGAATATTTAGAGAGCTGCTTCCTGTAAACTGATTAGGTTCTTAAATCAGAGGAGCAAAGTGGAAATGCAGCTATCGAGTCCTTACCCAGAAAGAGGGGATTCTCATCTCACAGGCTACTGGTGAGAGCAATCTTTTTGGTTCCAATTCTCTCAGTGCAGGTATTCTGCTTCGTGCAGTCTTTGTTTTGATATCTATGTTTTTGAACTCAGGCCAATTGTGTGTGTTGTCACTCCAAACGCTTGCACAAGCACAGCACACACACACACACACACACACACACACACACACACACACACACACACACACACACACACACACTCACTCTCTCTCTCTCTCTCTCTCTCTCTCTCTCTCTCTCTCTCTCTCTCTCTCTCTCTCTCTCTCTCTCTCTCTCTCTCTCTCTCTCTCTCTCTCTCTCTATCCCTTCCTCCCTCCCTCCCTCCCTCTCTCTCTAACCAACCCCCCCTCCTTCCCCTCCTCCCTCCCTCTCCCCCTCTCTTGTTCCTCTCTCTTCTCCCCCATCCCTTCTCTTCCAGGTTCTCACCTTCTCTTTCCCCTTTGCTTCCCCCTTCCTCCCCCCTGTACATCTGCCTCACTCCTTCCCCACCTTTCACATTAAGTATACATTAAGTTTCTACTACAGTATACTGCAAATATACAAATGTTACTGTCATTAAGGAAGTGTTCTAGAATGTATAGTTTGTTGACAGGGTTATCTTTACTTTTGTATGTGTATAGGCCTCTTGGAATGTAACAAGTTAAGGTTTCATGCCAGTTTATTGTAAACAGTCCTATGGTATTGCAGAGACTTGCAACTTTCTTTTTTTTCTCACTCTGTCCCAAGAAATCCTGAGAGAAGGGCATTTTAGATAGTGATTTAGTATCTGTAATCTTAAAGTTTAAAATTAAAAGCTATCTTCCTATTCATGAGAGAAATTGAGACTTTATTCTGTCTTTCTTTCATTCTTTTTCTTTCTTTTTTTAACATTTTTCCTTTTTTTTGGTTAGTATGAATATGATGATTTTATTCAGAGATGATAGGCAGAATGTACATGGCAGAATCATGAAAAAAAATCCATGATTTTATTGCTGTGATATATGGTTAAGCTTTAGTTGTGTAAGCTTGATGAAAAGTTTATGATCTTTTTGGTCCAAACATAATTGAAAATGTGGTGCTTGGGAGGACGTTTTTATCATTCCATCCAAATATTTCATCTTCGTTATTTTATCATTATTCTTTATTCTTTTCAAAATAGAATATACGTTGAGGCACGCGCACACACCCCACACCACCCTACACTATGCTACCTTACACTATCCCTACCCCCACCACACACACACGCATAACAAATCTATGCTATAATACACATTGCGATATACCACACACAGCATACCATATCACTCATGCACAACACCATATGAACACACACCACACTATACTACACACAATATACCATACTATACCTGCACCAGGCTATGCACCACACTGTATCACACATGCAGTTCTTTGTTTGTTTTTTGTTTTTCCTGTCAGAATGTCAGATATGGAGGAATTTCAGTTGTATGCTATATGGCTCTTTTATTGTGTCATGGATGCACTTGATTGGTTTGTTGATTACCGATGGTGGGAGACTGATTGGTAATGATAATTATTGGAAAATTAACAGGTTCATGGTGACAGTTTATTGGAATACAACAATGGACCTTTTTGCAATCAGCCAATCGACACAAATCTCTGAAGTGCATCTGTACCTCGTTAAAAATCAGTGGAGTATAGACAACCTCACCTGTGTTTATTTAAGGTTTGTGATTCCAACGTCAGATCTTAAACCTACCAGCTAACTGTGTTTTGTCTGACCTGTGGCCCAGATTGTTGTCTTTATTAGAATAGAAAATGGCTCTTTGGCCAAAAGTTCATTTGATTTTGTATACTTAAACTAGACATTCAGTTGTGTGCGTGTGTGTGTAAGAACGTGTGTGTGTATATATGTATATATATATATATATTGAAAGCCTGATGGCATAGCCATAACTAAATTAAATTCAGCTGGGAATTTAATACATTCTGTAACATGATTCCCCCAAAGTATATTCTTATTTCAGGTTATCCTTATATAATATAAGAAAATATTTATGTTGCTACAATACGTATGGAAATCATTTAGGAATTTGGAAATATTATATTATTATTATTTTATAATTGTCATCATTGTTATTATTATTGTGTGCACCATCAGTCCGTAAAAAATACAGACGAACAGAGGTTTTTGAAACCATTGGATGAAGTGAATTGATCTTGTGCATAACAGTTTCTTTTAAAATCTCTGGAAATGTTTTTAACTAGTAAACAGACAAAATGCATCATCTGCTTGTTCCTTGTTATTATTTTTATAAATTGATCTTTTATAGAAAATGCGATTGTATGGTCACATGGAGAGAATATTTGATTTATTTGATAACTTGCTTTATTGCTTCAGAAGTTATCAGGTAATAATACTTATCATTTAGTTGTATCCTTTTTACAATAAAATATCTGAAAACACTCCCACTGGCATTTTATTTTCAGAATTTGAAGATTGCAAGTGTAGAAGGGAAATGAGCTTTATAACCTGATTCCTCTTAGGAATATACATTTTAATGAGAAACGATGTGTTTTCATGGAAAAGATAACATTATGAAAAGGACACAGCAATAGAGTATTTATTCCAGTATGAATAGATTGATAAAACTTGTATATTCAAAATAAAAAGGATTGGGTGTGTTGAGTAACATGAAGTACGTACTGTTTTTAAAGTAATTCAAAGACTTAAGTACATTTTACTGAGGTAATTATCATGTAAATACATTTGGGGATTGAAAATGGACCAAGGGTGGGTTGATTATGCATATTATTTTTAATTCATTAACGTCAGCCAGGATTTTTTAAAGTGTATTTTGATAATATTTAAAACATATGAAAACGGTTTCCTCTAGACACAAATGGGAAAGGTTGTAAGTTAACTGTCGTATTGAAATGACGTTTCATAGTGAGTGGTTCATCATTCGACTTCAGTTTTTCTGTCGCATGATATTCCTGAACTGAAAGAATGGTAATTTAATGTGCCTATTTTAGTAACTTTCAGTGTACTGTTATATCTGTTGCCAAATACGAACTGTGATACTTTTTTTTACATAAATAACCTATCCTAGAAGACATTCCCTCTTTCGTCATTGGGTTTATGCATTGTTCTGAGATGTATGCAAACCAGCATCAATCATTATAATAATCAAGATGAACGAAGTCGGCATTCACGAAATCGATAGGGGCGGATAGCGTCCATCAGTGTATTTCAGTTCGTATATTATTCGTTCGTGAAGCATTTCTTTAGTACTAAAAAAAGAGAGTGGTATGAAAAAAGTAATTATGTGCAGTGAAGTACAAGGTAACCTTTGTGATCAGGAAACGTATATAAAAATGCAGATTAGTGTGCAGGAGCTCAATATCTCGCACAATAATAGATTATACACGTTCACTGTATGTCACTCTCTGCCTTTGGGACGTTTTGAAGATGTCTCTAAATTACTGTTCTGTCATCCACTATTACTGCTGGCAAGTTGCACCTACACAGGTGCAAGACACAACACTCTGTCATACAATATAATCATAGTCATTACAGGTCTTTAAATAAGCTATAATTACATTAATAAATAGACGATATGGAATAATATATATGTTACTCGAATTTGTTTACTTACGTTGTTAGACACATGACGCGGAGACACCATTCATACCTATACCCGGTAACAGGCACGCTGGCGCCCTTTGCCCCTCAGGGGTTGCTGACCTGACATGACCGGTCAACGCGTGCTGTTCACATGATGCATCTTACGTCACTACACACATTCATACACTCAGTCACATTCTACACTGAGGGAACTTCAAATTTCTCGTCACTTCATTCATACTCTACGGTTGTGCATGTATGTGTGTGATCGCTAATGTTTGTGTTTGTTAATCTTGTGACAAACATCCCATTTAGTAAGTGATTTCCTTATAGAGTGAGACCCGACCAGGTGAGTATATGTGCCACTCTTAGTGCATTAAATGAATGGAAGTAATGCAGTTAACGGTGATACAAAAATACTCTGAAATCACAGGAATTCTCACGTTAATATTTTATTACAGGTAATTGATATAAGATTTTTATCATGGTAATGTACATCTAGGTCTTTGTTTTGATGCATTTGATGCTATGCAGCACTGGAGTCAAGAAAGAAAAACATTGAGAGGAAAAAATAAAAGATTAGGAGAGAGAGAGAGAGAAGAAAAAAAAATAAAGTAAGAGACAGACAGGCAGACAGAGGGAGAGAGAGAGAGACAGAGAATATGCTAGTGGCAGATAATCGCCATTTTTTCTACATTCGTGAAAATGCATCTATTGGTAAGTATTTTCTGTGACTTCATCCCAATGACCTCCAAATGACAGTCCTTTATCACTCAGCCCAAACTCCAATGACAAGATAAGAGTTTTCTATGAGGGAAATGAATAGCAGTCGATAAGCGTGTAAAACGGGTCTTTATATCATTCAATGAGTAGTTGGTACAAGAGGATATTATTAAAAGATAAATAAATATGTAAAAATAAACAAACAAAAAAGTAATTTCATTCCATGCTAAAATTTTCGCAGAAACACCTAATCGTAGTATTTACAAATCTGATGAATGTTATGGTGCCACTTAAATTCAGCACCTTGTTCTTGTTTCCCCGTTGTAAACCATTCTTTGACGGCATAAGAAGTCTTACAAAACGGGCTCGTTAGTTGCCCGTAACCAAGTTTCTCAAATCAACGCTTTGCATCAAGTCACTGTTCTCGCTAACCCGATTTCTCATCACAACGAGTCAGTTTCGAAACACAACATGGCCATTTTCTTTCAGCCTCCGCCATTAGATAGCAGGCTGTCAGACGGACTAACCCAGTGGTCAGCGTTACATGAATAATGGCGTCTTTCCATAAACCGCCTTCTTGCTGCCAACCACTTAGGCGTCTCCCTGTTCCTGCCATCCCTTTCGTGTCCCTCCGTGCGATCCGGTAAAACCAGATTTTCGATATTTCTAAACTGTCGTTCTCTTCTTGTCCTCCTTTATCTCTCTTCCTTTCACCTCGGTTGATATATTGTTTTCTGGTTTTATTATCTGTACCTGGCAATGGACTCCCAGATGATGGAAATGGGCATCATGTATGTTTACATAATGGAACGTTTTCATGTTTAAAACGAAAAACAAAAAACTCGGTCACAACACTAAAAGTTTTGAATTGAAAACATAGAAACTCACAGACAAAAAGTAAAAGAACAGATGTAGAGATATCCCCCAAAGACGAAGAAAAG